CCCCTCCCCCATGCCGGGCCCCTGCCCTCCGCCCCTCCTGCTGGGCAGCACTTCCAGTCCCTCCGTGGCTCCACGCCAGCCCCCTCCCTTCTCCGCCGAGTTCTCACAGCTCTGTCTGCCCTGCTAGCCCCTCCCGAGGGGCTCCCGTCCTGCCCCTTCCCTCTGCTCTGCCTCCACCTGGAGCCCATCCTCCTCCCTGGCTAAGCCCCTCTGCTCACCCCATTGCCCGGTGTCCTGCCAGCTCCCACCTCCATGGGACCGGGGTTGGGCTCCCTCCCGCTGCTGCCGTCTTCCCCTCCCTCCCTCTCCTGCCTGTGAACTCCCCCGCCCCCCCACCGCCCTCCGACAGCCCCTCCTGCCTCTCTCCCTCCTCCGCCCGCCCCCTGCGGCTCTCACTGAGATGGCCCCTGACCTGCTCCCGGTCACTTCTACCGGCCTCTTCAGTGGGTCCCTGGCCCCACGTCCTGCCATCCAGCCTTGTCCTGGGCCCCCTCCGTGCTCCGTTCCTGGGCCAGCCCATCTGCCCTCAGGCCATCAATGGCCGGCTCCTTGCTGACAGCGTCCCCATGTACCTCTGTTGGGCCCTGCATCCGCTCCCCCCCTCCCCCCGGACACCCTGCCCTGGGCCCCGTCCTGTGTGGGCTTATCCTGCCCTTGGCCTGGGTCTGATCCGCCTGCGGCCTGGCCAGCTCCTCGCCCCCATCATCCCCCCCCCCTTGCACCATCCCCTTGGCCAGGAAGAGCCGCCTGGATGTGGTCGGGGCCTCTCTCCCCCTCCCCGCCCCCCAGCCATCCACTGTGCGGCTAGAGCACACACAATTCACTAGCCTGGGCCCTCGCAGGCGCTGATGTGTGAGGGGGAATGTGGGGAGTGTCTGTCTCCTTCTCACTCAAGGGTTTTGGGGTTTTTTTGGCTAGGGGTTTGTTTCTTGCTTGTGCATGGCTCCCGACTGATTTTTCAGCAGTCCCGGACCCAAAAAAGGTTCCCCAGCCCCGTAAACCTTCGCCCTGTGAGCTGCATGTAATCAGGGGTGGTAATGTGTGCCGAAGTCTTTGGGCAGTCTGAAGCAATAGCTCTTAGCGGTGAGAATTGCTCCCATTCTTTTCTGTGGGCCGTTGACTCTGAAACCTAATGGTGGTGCACGTGTCCCTGTTGTGAACTGGTAAGCTGCTGATCGAAGCTGCTGATCAATCTACTGTGAGTAGTATCTTTGTTCAGTGACCAGCAGGGAGCTTATTCTTCCAGCCTGACCTTGGTAGGAGGAAGAAGAAAGCGTACGCCCTAGTGTGCTTTGACTCCACGTGAGTCTCTGTGTGTGTGTGTGTCCATTTTCCAGGCCCTGTTTGTGCCTGCCAGCCAGGTCTGGGTCTTTGTGTTTTAATGACACCAGACAAATTCTTGGCCTCCTGTCTCGCCAAACTGTCCCCTCCCTGTTACTGGGCAATGTGTTAGTGCGAGTTGGTTGCTGCTCCCCACCCCAGAGGTGGCTGCATTTAATGGTAAATTGCACATGGATATGGTCTAGAAATGGTGTCTCTGGCCTCTGTCAGAGGCTGGAGAGGGATGGCAGGAGACAAATCGCTTGATCATTGTCTTCGGTCCACCCCTTCTGGGGCATCTGGCAGTGGCCACTGTCGGCAGACAGGATACTGGGCTAGATCGACCTTTGGTCTGACCCAGTACAGCCGTTCTTATGTAAGTGCTTTAGGTTCCTTGGCCAAGGAAAGCCCTGCCTAAATGACAGACCATCTGTTGTCCTTGCCGGGTATTCTGTGAGGGAAACGGCCCCTTGCCCATCCAGCCGGGCCACTGACTCTCAGTGCAGCTCTCTTACTTGTCTGCTACTGGATCTGAAGACACAAGTGAAGACCATGATTTTTAGATGGACTCGAGTTTTCTCAGAGGGGCACCAGAGTTGAGACGCCTTTAAAGGGATGCTAAGTACATCTCCTCTGAAAATCTCATCCCTTTCGATGTGTATTGGGTCCAGCACCCAAACCCACTACAGATTGATTGAACCTCTCTAGTGCTGAACCAGGGGAGGTGGATATTGTCTAGCAGCATGACCAACACTTCCACTGCTTACTGGGCTCTTAGAAGACAGTTAGGCGTCAATTAGAGCTAAATCACAGCACAGACCACTGAGCGCCAGGACTGGTGGCTGTAAACAAACTTCATGGGACTGCAGGAAACTTGGCCACACTCTGGCTGTGTCTAGACTGGCCGCTTGAATTTCCGCAAGAGCACTGACGATCTCATGTAAGAAATCAGTGCTTTTTGTGGAAATACTATGTGGAAATACTAAAAGTCCTTTTGCCCAAAGCTTTTGCGCAAAAGGGCCAGTGTAGACAGCTCAGATTTGTTTTGCGCAAAAAAGCCCCGATGGCGAAAATGGCAATCGGGGCTTTTTTGCGCAAAAGCGCGTCTAGATTGGCACGGGCGCTTTTCTGCAAAAAGTGCTTTTGTGGAAAAGCGTCCGTGCCAATCTAGACGCTCTTTTCCGCAAATGCTTTTAACGGAAAACGTTTCCATTAAAAGCATTTGTGGAAAATCATGGCAGTCTAGACGTAGCCTCTGTGATCAGTGGACATCCGGCTAAGTAACATCACGCCGGACCATGGATGTTGCCGGATTAGAGAGGTTCAACCTGTAGTGACTCAGGAGATGCTCAAATAATGGTGTCTGTGGCTCCCATGTGTCTGCCCCCATGTTATTGGCGCCTCCAAATAGGAGGCTGGGCTTCCAAAGGGACTGCAGTCTTTCTGGGGCCCTCACCTCTTGACCCCTGCGTGCCCAGGCTGCTGCTCAGCATGTGGAACGGGGGCTGGGTTGTGGGCATTTAACATTGAATGGAT